CGCGCGCGCACACACACACACACACACACACACTTTTTAATATATATATATATCTCCTTGACCAAATTAATCTTTACTTTTATACTTATCCCACAATAGGTGTTTCTATCATGGTCTTAGCTATAGTGACTGAGTGCTAAATGTCAATACCTTTGCTGACATCCTGAAATTTGACGGTATTGTAGAACAGCTGTTATGTTCAATTCTTTTTCTTTAAGAAGTGAAAGGAAGAGAATGCATGTGGGCTGCCGGATTAGTACTTGGATTATGATATCGCCATGCTCATTAAAGTGAACAGGAAGGCAACAAATGACTTCTATGTTCCGTTTTAAGCAATTAATAAACAAACATTGGGTAAATGGAGATGGAGACCAATTTGAAACTGACTTAATCTTTAAACCCCAAGTTATTTGTAGTAGAGATATGCTAACATTTTAAATGTGGCAGTGATGGCTAATTTTCAGATGCTGCTGCTACTACTATTTAGTAGCTATAGTGATTTTGAACCGAATTAAAGAAGTGTAAATAAATGAACTAATGCCCTACTCCTGCTCCCATTGGATTCAATGGAAACTGGGCCAGGCCCAATATGGTTTGTCTGCATACTTGTTTTCTTTGCGTTTTTACTGTGTTTTAAATTTCATTACTCTGTGTAGCAGATTGAGATGCCTGAATCCCTGAAGAGTAAAAAATCCAGCGTCCAACAAAGTCAGGTCAGTGAGTGAGTGTGACATACCAAGGTACAATCCACACTGAGGCCAGGTCTACGCTACAGACTTGTATCGGTATAACTATGTTGCTCAGCGGTGTGAAAAATCCACAGCCTTGAGTGACATAGTTATACCGACCTAACCGCCTGTGTAGACTGCTATGGCGACAGGAGAGCTTCTCCCATCAACATAGCTCCCACCTCTCGGAGAGGTGGATTAACTACGCCAACAGGAGACGCTCTCGCGTAGGCGTAGGAGCATCTTCACTAAAGTGCTACAGCGGCACAGCTGCAGTGCTGTATGTGAAGACAAGCCCTGAGTAGTTGTCATCCCTGCCTAGGCGTGCCCATTATAGTGCCTTGCTGCTGTAGCCTCCAACCTGGACTGCTCACAAACAGCCTCCAGCATGTAAGTCACTCCCAGCTCTGGCTGTGTGTTCTGCAGCCAGCCAGCCACACCTTGGCTCTTTATAGCTATAGTTACGCTGCAGGGTGACCTGAACATATCCCCAGTCCAAGATCTTCCCTCCGAAATGTATGTCTTGTACTGCCCAGCCCTCTCCTGGATAGCACAAATATATTAAGTCTCTTATTCATTTAAGGAAATAATATGCCAGTTTATCATTTAAAATAGTTACCCAAACACTTCAATTTAAACACACTGTATTAGATCAAATAAAACAAGCTTATTAACTACAAAGAGATTTTAAGTGAGTATAAGTAATAAGGTATAAAAGTCAGAAATGGTTATAAGAAAAATGAGAAACTGCTTACTGGTGCCTAATTTAACAAATGATATTAGATTCAAGCAAAGTTTGTCACCATATGCTGCAGCAGATTACTGGCCAAACTCTCAGGTCAGGACCCTCCCTTCCCACCCAAGTGCAATGGCTGTTTTCCTTTGTCATCTTACGTGCAACTAGAGACACACAAGGGGAGAGAGAGAAGGGGTGTTTGCCCTTTCTTTTTATAGTCCTGTCCCCCACTTTGAGAACTGTTTACAGCTGGGAGCACTGACATAATTAGGTCGACATAAGCTGCCTTAATGTTGACCTAACTCTGTAGTGTACACTAGCCCTGAGTCTTTGAGGAATCTCTGAACAAGGGAACTGAGATAACTATTGTGTTACTGCTAGGTGAAGTTATAAACAGAATTTTGTACAGATGATAGAGAAAACTAATGTTGCCACAATTTATATAACATACATTTTTATACATTGCTTTAAACAATGTATTTAATGTGTAACTCAAGATTTCAGCTGTTTGCAAGACACATAAAAGAAAAACTATGCTCTAAATTCTCCAGATAAAGTAATCTACAAATACATGTCACATTAGTGTAGAGGCAGGCCCATGTTAAATGCAAACTTAGACACTAGAGGAATTGGGTGACATTGTAGTGGGAGAGTTTGAAGTAGTATCTACCACCTATTGGAAGAGATCTGTTCTCCCAACTAAAAGCTTAGAACAATGATGGCTCTTTGAGGACAGAAGAAGAGCAGAATGCAATGCATCCATTCACAAAGGTTGGATATAAATAATTACCTTATGTAGGCCCCAGTCCTGCAAACATTTGCCCACTATGATGGATTCCCCAGGGTGCAACTTGGAACTGGGGTACTGCTGAGCTGTCTGTCTTACCAATCTGAGCTCCCTGTCACACTGTGATGCTGTGACAAGCTGCAAGTCCCTCCAGGTCCTGCACTCACGCAGCCATCCACAGGCAGCGACATATCCAGCTGAGTTACACAAATGCTTCTCCCTGCCACTCATGAACTAACAATAGAGAGGCTCTAGCTAACACCCCCCAGCTCCCCAGCCTAGGGACCTAGAGCTGTACTGTTTTGCCTTGGTCAGAAGCCTGACCAGTGTAAGTTTATTCCCCAGTCCATTCCTCCCTCATTATGGAGAGGACTGGCATAAGCCCTTGTTCCTGAGCAGTTTTCCCTTCAGTTTTCAAGTAACACACTGTTTTAGGTAAAATATATAAAACAGATTTATTAACTACAGAAAGAGAGATTTTAAGTGATTATAAATTGTAAGCATTCAGATCAAAGTTGGTTATGTAAGAAATAAAAAGCAAAACCACAATCTGAGTTCTGTAAACTAAACAGGATTTGAATCAAGCAGGGTCTCACCCTGATAGACAATACAAGCTGGTCACAGATCTTCCATACATAGACTGGAAACTCCCTTCAACCTGGGACCACCTTCCCAGTTCAGTCTTTGTTCTCTGGACATACGTCCAGGTGTTGAGTTGTGGAGGAGTGAGGCCAAATGATGATGTCACTTCCCCCTTTTACAGCTTCTTCTAGCTTGCTGGAAAGATCCTTTGCTATGATGTGAGTCAAGCAACCTCCCATTGTGTATGTGCTATCTCCGAGAGGTTTCCATTTTATACAGTTCCTGGGTAATCCTTGTGATTGTGTGTATTCCTCTTAATGGGCCGCCATCAGTTTCTGGCTGCACCATTGTTGTACCCGAAAGACTGGTTGTGGGTGTGTCCAACTTCACAACATATTTCAGTAACACACACACATATATAATATATTCATAACTTCATAACTCCACTTACAATGATAGCACATACCATTTAACAGGATATTAATGTTCAACAGATTAAGACTTTTAAAAGATACCTCACAAAGCATACTTTTACAAAACACATCATAATTATATCACCATGGTAAATATGGGGGTTTCAGGGTGTTGCTTTGGGGTACAGAGTGTCACCCTCACATGTCTAACTTAAAGCATGTGAGTATTCCCACTGACTTCAATAAAATTGCTCACATACAAAGTTAAGCACATGCTTGTAAGTATTTGCTGGATTGGGACATTATTATTCAGGCATAACACCAATAAAAAGCAGCCCCAAATGTCCCAATTTGTCCCATCATTAGAGCATTGAAATAAACATTACTGTAAACATTACAGTTTCCTGCTCCAATAAGCAATTATCTGTCTCCTAAATGCTGAGCTAGAAGTGCCATCCATTGCATCAATAAAGTAGGATAATGTCTGATAAACTTTTTTTTAGTTGCATTAATGTTCATACTTATCGCTGAATGTCTATTGGTTTTTTTGGTTACTGTGATTTGTGTGCTCTTACTGTATTTAACTGTGTATTTGTTTCTCTGCAGATAGCTCACTCTGGTTTTATACCAAGAAAAAGGATTTTGGTTAGACCAAATAAAGAGGATGGTGTTTTTGAGAAGATAAGAGAGGAAGATCTGTGATAGATTATTTAGAACTGCCTATAAAAATATGTTGCAAAGTATCAATTATATTAAAATAGTCTTCAATTTAACAATACCTTATACATTTTTCTGATTCTTTGACAATTATAACATTCTTGATCTTGTAGTTTTAAAGATCCAGTTAACCACTCCCTGGAGTTAGAACTTGCTACAAATTTGAAGAAAAAGTGAAGACAGGGCAACATAAAAACATCTTACATTTCTTATATATGTGTATTTTTATAACTGAAATTAAAAAAATTTGAAATAGAAAACAGTCTACTGAAATGTTAGAGCTTGAGAATTTTATTTTGCATTAAAATATAAAGTTTTAATTAGTTGAGTGTTGGTTTAAATATTGTGACAGTGGTTGAGTGCAGCTCAGTGTCGCCATCTCTGGATTATTTGGGATGTCCACCCATTTCCCTTGGACACATACCTTGCCATGATCATTTATGCTCTTCCTTATTAAGGGCAGTGAGCCTACTACAATGCCCCCATGCTTCTAACTGAGCTTCACTTAATGCTGATCTGGAGACTGCAACAGTTGCTGAATGCAGCTGTTAATGTACTTCCTGGCATAAGAGGAAGGGAATCAGTTATACCTATTAACCCACACAGTGGAATCTACATTGGCTGCTGATACGTCTAAGAACATATTTAAAGGTCTTAGGACTTGTCTGCACAGGGAATTCATGGGGAAGTTAGTGCAAAATAGCTAGGGTGTGAATTTAAAGCACAATAGCTATTTTTCACTAGCTATTCCGGGTCTCTTTCCCTGTGTAGACAAGCCTTTAAGTGTTCGTATATAAAGTCCTTCAAAGTGTAATCTCTAAAATGATGAGTCCATGCCCAGCGGTTATGCTGAGGCTGTTCTTGGTCCCTAATTTCAGCCAGGACCAAGCTACAGGGAGAACTTTCTCAGTCGAGGCACCCTGGGTTGTAAGAACTACTGAGAGGGAGGTTCCTTGGCAGCCTCTAGGGCACTCTGCAAACCCTGCAAATTTCACCTGGCCAATCCTTGACCAGTTTTTGATCCCCATATTTTGCACAAGCTGGTGGGGTGGATACTATGAGGACTGTCAGGAATCCTTCTGTGCCAACTTGCAGGGTTCTGACTGAATGTGAAGTTGGGCTGGATGATTCTTCTGATCATGTGTTGTGTTTATGCGTGCTTTGTAGTATGATGTGCAAATGCCTTATGATAGACAAAAATACAGCACACTGCAGTTTAAAGGTGATCTGCAAAATTTAAAGAATACCTTTCTGGAAGATGCTGAATGCCACAGAAAAGGCCCTCTCCTGCACAGGCTCTCCTGCAATTTCAGTGGTAGGGCATACAGGATTGGCTCCAAATAGCAGAAGAGGCATTTCAGGATGTTAGTAACTTAAACTTACTCAGCATAGACTGGCATACAATCTTCTTAATGCAGTAAGGAAAATCCAATTGTTTTTAAATGTCTTGTTATACTTTTATACACAGAAAGCTGCCGTTTAAAAAAAAATGCAAATTGCTTCTCCCCTACAGGCAGCCTGCACGCTCTAGCCTTGGTTTGTATGACAGACTAGCAGAAAGCATGTTTCATTGATGTCACATTGGGCAGAAGCTAGCAATCATAGGAGGAAGGTGTCTGGACTGAATGAATTTACAAAAGGGGGGGGTGCTAGAGACAAGGTTAGTAAGACAAGATGTCTCTTAAAACTTTTTAGTGGATATGTGACCTGCTGGCTGGCTGTATCTTGAATTACTCTATATGTAAATGAGTCTTTCATGTGAACTATGTATTCAGCTGAATAGCAGAAGGTTTAGAGAGACACGCTGAAAGTGGTTGATCCATCATTTGACCTACCTCCTTCTCTCTTTAAAAGACAGGCATATCTGTGAGTGATCTGAGAAAGGAGCTGGGACCCAAGAATGTCTAAATTCTGATCTCTGTTGTATCTGTGGCCTTGGCCAAGTCACGTAACCAATTACCCCACTTTACTGATGGAGAAACTTAAGCAAATACTTATCTATCTCACAGAGCTATGGTGGGGACTAATTCGAGAGTCTCTCAACTTAAATCACACTTTCATCTGAGTTTTTACCCACTGTCACAACGTAAGCTGATGGGCCAGTGCCTGGGCCAGTATATCAAATAAAGCTGCTGTCCGAGCAGAATTTCAATCCCTTTCTTCAAGGTTTTCTTTATTTAGCAAAACAGTTCAGTGTCAGCCCAAAACAAATCTATAATAGGCTCCATAGTTCCTTCCTGAAATCCAGAAACTGCTGCCTGACCTTTTCTAAAGCCTCTCCCCACTAAGGCTTCTATCCCTGCTCCCTGCAGGGATCTCCTTACAGAAGAGCCCTGCGCAGATACAGAATTTGTATTTACATCCATCTGCAATCCACAAACATGGGCCACGGATATAAAGCAGATATCCACAGATTTGCAGGGCTCTAGATATAAAATTTGGATCCCATCCGCAAACATGGTCTATGGATATAAAGCAGATAAAGGGCAGTATGTCACACACATACACAGCAGCACCATGTGATTAATATTACTATACCTGTGAAAGAATAGAAGGAAAATATTTCCCATTTTTTCAACTTTAGTTTGTATGTTGTCTTCTTGTTACACTAATAGTCATTTCCTCTGTCTGGGCCTTTCTGTGACCCTAAGCACCCTTGTACTCACACCTTACACACGATTGTAATAATCTTTGTACAAAATATGCCTTGTGAGGTATCATTTGAAAACTTATAACTCACTGGTCAATAATATCATGGTAAAATGTATGTAGCAACATTATATGTAAAGCTATGAAATCCCTTGTATGATTTTATTAGCACACATTCAAAACCACACAGCCCTGCCCAACCAAACAGCCCTGCACAATATAAGAAGTAAACAGGGTCCTTGAGACATCAGGGAGAGGAGATGGCAGGAGACAAAGCACATTTGCATTTCAGCAAACACAGGTGAGAAGAAAGAGCATGGAGCCTCCTTCCCACCAGACTCTATGCTGTCTCCTTTACTGTTTGAATAAACTTTGCTTTGAGGGGTAACCCTCAGGAGAATCCACTTGAACTGGCCTATAAAAGAAAGGTGGTTGTAACTGTGTTGGTCCCAAGATATTAGAGAGACAAGGTGGGTGAGGTAGTATCTTTTATTGGACCTACTTCTGTTGGTGAGAGAGACAAGCTTTCGAGGTTACACAGAGCTCTTCTTCAAGTCTGAAAAACTTACTCAGAGTGTCACATTTTGCATTTAGCTGTGACACTCAAGTAAATTTCCCAAACCTGAAGAAGAGCTCGGTGTAAGCTCAAAAGCTTGTCTCTGTCTCTCACCAACAGAAGTTGGTCCAATAAAAAGATACTACCTCATCCCGAGAAACTGCAGAATTGGAATTAATTTGCAAATTGGACACCATTAAATTAGGCTTGAATAAAGACTGGGAGTGGATGGGTCATTACACAAAGTAAAACCTATTTCCCCATGCTAATTTTTCCCCCTACTGTTACCACACCTTCTTGTCAACTGTTGGAAATGGGCCATCCTGATCATCACTACAAAAGTTTTTTTTCTCCTGCTGATAGTAACCCACCTTAACTGATTAATCTCGTTATAGTTAATATGGCAACACCCATTTTTTCATGTCCTCTATATCTTCCTACTGTATTTTCCACTGCATGCATCCGTTTCTTTAGCCCACAAAAGCTTATGCTCAAATAAATTAGTTAGTCTCTAAGGTGCCACAAGTACTCCTTGTTCTTTAAACTAGGAAAATGTCTATAAAATCATAACATTTGGTAGTGGGATTCAGGAACAGGGCAGTACTTCACAAATGAAGTGGGTGTTGATCTAGTCAGATTTTAAAAATGAGTTAACAGTTTGAAGTGCTTTACAACACTTTCATGTTCTCAACTTTGAAGTCTGATCTGTTTCAATTATCTACAACTTGTGCTTTTTTTTTAGAAATAAACATCACTGTTTTTAGTAAATTCACACAGTTCAACGCTTAACAAATAACTGGACAGTAGAAAATTACAGTACATATGATACAAATTGGCTGATAAACTTCAATAGGGAAAGATTTGTCAGTGGTATAAGTGATGAGTAACAATTACTAAACATCTATTAACTGCTTGAAATGTTCTTTTAAAGATTTAAAGTTTTCAACTGCTCTAATACTAAACTAAAGGCACAGGCCTACAATGAACAGTAGAATAATGCTAATAACTAAAATAGCCACCTTTTGCTTAAGCTGTGGATGGTAGCAGTTATCTTCATTAATCATACCTATTATATTGTCATTCTGAAGAATGAAATCATTGCTGCTTTAACAAAATTTAAATTACCTGTAGTCCATTATTGCCTTAATAGTAACAGCTGCTACTTTTAAAAATGTACAAACATTTTTAGCAGCATGTGATGGGAAATCACTTGAATGCCAAAAAATGTTAACCATGAATAAGAAATATTGTTGGTATTAGGCTTTAACAAACATCAAGAATCAGATCAGAACCTTTGCTGTTGTTTGGTAAAAGTGTCTAATTATTATCTTCATACCTCAGGTTCCTTCTGGGGCAACCTTAAGCACAAGCCACTGCTTGGAACCTAAGAGTTAACTAGGAAAAAAGAGTCTTTATTGCCTCAGCAAACCCGAACTTCCATCTGCCCCTCAGCAACTGGAACCAGCAGGAAGGACCATTCATAGACCGAGCACTGCTTTCCACTGGCACCAACCCTCCAGTATGAACAAAAATACACACTTTAGTGGAGTGGCGGGTGGTGTGGCCAGAGCACCCCTAACCCTGGAGTGCCCCTAGCACCAGCACTGGGTGGGCAGCACGGCTGGAGCGCTCCCAGCCCCAGAGCACTAGGCGGACAGAGCTGCCCCAAAGCACTGCGGGGGGGCAGCCCGGTCCCAGCACTGGATGGATGGGTGGCGCGGCATGGCCTCAGCCCCAGCCTTGTATGCCTTTGCCCCAGCCTCTTGGCCACAGAAGAGCAGGAAGGGAACTGAAGCAGGCAGGAGAGTGTCTGGGGGCAGAGTATGGGCGGGGCCACACCAGGCTATTTGGGGAGGCACAGCCTTCCCCTGCTTATGCTACCTGCTGCCCATACTTTAGGCCATTCTCAAAATGATCCAAGTGTTTCATTTATGTCTGAGGCATATATTCCTTTGATTCCTGTCAAATTGCAAGACCAGCCATGGTAGACTGATGGTAAACATTTAGAAATGTGTTAGTTTTATCATGGGGGCCTATAATAAATTCCAAATAGGGCAGAATACACTTTAACCACTA